CGTTCATCTTCTCGGTTTGTCCATCGGTCTGTGGGTGGAATGCAGTGGTATACTCGAGCGTGGTTCCGTAGGCTTTACAGAGGTGTTTCCAGAATTGTGAAAGGAAGCGAGGGTCACGGTCACTGATGATGTTCTCGAGGAGACTGTGGTGGCGTGCAACATGATCGAAGAAGAGAATGGCGACGTCCTTGGCGTTGTGGAGCAAGGGATAAAGTGGGTGCGTTTAGCTAAGCCGCAAACAATGACATAGGTGCAATCATGTCCGCAATCGGTCTTCGGGAGACCACAGACGAAGTCCATGGAAATGGACTACCACCGGTGGGTGGGGATCGACAATGATTGTAGCTTGCCGGCTTGGCGCGGTTTGAGGGGTTGACGGCTTGACAAGTGGGAAATGAGCGAATGTAGGCTTTGAAGTTGGCGAGTAGGGAAGGCCAATAGAAGTATCGAGAGATGGTGTCGAAGGTTTTTTGGAACCCGAGGTGTCCCGCAGTCTTGGCGTCATGATGCTCGACCAAGAGTTGGGCAGGGAGGCCACGTGCGTCGGGGATGCAAAGTTGGCGAGTGCCTTTGGTGTCAATGTAAAGAAGTTCGTCGTGAAGGGAGTAGTTGGGGACTGAGTCGAGGTCACGAAGCTTGCTATAGATTGTTGAGAAATCTGGGCAAGAGAGGTAGCCTTGGGTGTAGCGGTGGTGGAGCGATGGTAGAAGTGGATACGAGTCATGGTGGCGTAGACTTTCTTGGAGGGTTTGTGGTTGGGGCGTTCGATGACAAGGGTTGCGACGCCCGAGGTTCGTATGGTGGGATGTGTGGCACTGGAAGGGGGGGGAGGCAAACGTATTGTTGTAGACAAATGGGCCACCGGTGGGGTGGAGGTTGTCACCGATGGGATGACCAGCGGAGTAGTCGTCGATGCCAGGACAGGTTCATGGTGATCCTGGGGACGATGTTCATGTGGAGGGACTGGGAGTGGCGGATGCCGAAACGGCGGGTCGGGGGGCCGCGGACCTGGGTGCCTGACGTGTGAATTGTCCGACATTTGGACAGTTTGTCTGTAGATGTCCTAACTGTCGACACCGAAAAAAACACCCTTTGCTTGGAGGTAGGTTCGCTCCTCCGACATGAGTTTCGTCAGACGGGTTGGGTGGGTGCTCATGGGAGGACGGCTGGAGCGTTCTCTCTTTTCCATTCGCATGAGGTGAATGGTGGAGAATTCGTCAAAGGAGAGTGATGTGGTGTCTAGTAGGTCGGAGAGAATGTCGTGGTCGGGCGCGGAGAACTCGTCTGAGGAGGCAGAGAGAGAGGTCTCGTTGGTGATGTTATGAAAGACTCGTGAGCGGGGTGGGCGGATGTGAGTGCGTCTTTGTATGGGGTGAGGAATTTGTTTAGGTGAATGGCTCGGTTGAGGAGATCGAAGAGAGACATCGAGGGGTCGTGGACGAGGGAGGCGGCTAGGTCCTTGCGGCATCCCCGTTTGAAGCAGGTGATGAATGCGGCATCGTTGACATAGTCAAGGGGGATGTGCTGCCTCAATGCACGGACGTATCGGACAAAGCGGTTGGTCGGGCCATTCTGTCGAAGACGACAGTCTTTTGTAGTCGGAATGTGCAGGTGATGAGATTGGCCCACTGAAGGAAGGAATGGGGTTCCTTGTTTGCGTGCTGGCGGTTAGCTCGAAGCCAGTGTGTGACAGGGATGTTGTGGAGGGAAAAGGAGTCATATAGTTTGTTGAGAAAGACAAAGACGTCCTCGTGGGGAAGGTCGGTGAAGGGGGGGATATCCATTGACCAAAAGGATGGGGGAATGTTACCCGTTATGGTGGCGAGGGTGTTGAAATCAAGTTTGGGTGAGGACAGTACCCAGGTGAAGTGGGATTGGTCAGGAGGAGTGTGGACCGAGGAGGTATTGGGATAATGGGGAGCAGGGCTTGAGGTGTGGGGGTGATCTGGGTATGGGTGGAAGTGATAGTGGATGAAGTTATGAGGGGTTTTAACTGGGAGGGAATGGTTGATGACTGTGTGACGGCGGGTTTGTCGTCTTGATGACCAAGGTGGAGGTAGTGGTGGATGAAGGCGGAGGTGTGGAGGACGTGCTAGCGGAGAGGGGGGTGGATGTGGAGGACGGGGCGATTCGTGTAGATGTGGAGGTGGAGGATGGGGGAAGGGTGGTGGCACCCAAGGTGCGGGGGGGGGATGTGGTGGTGACGACCTGGATGGCGGACAAGAGAGAAGAAATTGAGAGGCCATGGCAACAAAAGGATCTAGTACTTCCAACATGACATTAGCCAATCTTTCTGGTATTCTAAAGGATCGTTTGGATGTTGTGGATGAAGAAGATAAACTGTTGTACCAAACCCTCTATCAAAAGGAAATGGCAAAAGAGGAAAAAGAGGAAGAGGCCAAGTGGAAAACAGCCGCTGAAGATATTGAGACCATTTTTAAAACAGTCTTAACCATGAACCATGCTAGAAGCATATATCAACAAAGATCTGGTCAAGTACGTACGTGCCCTCGTAGATTACCATTTGCTCAGCGAAATCCTGGGTTTAAAGTCCCAACTACGCGATGAAATGAGTCAGATGCGTACTCAGATGGCAGATATGGCCAAGGAGCATCGCGATCAGATACAACAAATGACAATCATGCATCAGTCCCAAATCTCAAGCTCTCTTCCCCGACCTCTTGCTGCTAGGTGTTCTAACTTTGCACCTCTACACCCTTCTTATTATTATTATTATTATTCGTTGAGTTTGGTGGCTAATAAGTCGGGACCTGCAACATGCGCAGATTCCGTTGTCGCTACAAGCGACAACGCATGGAATTATGCAACTGCCGCAGCCGTGAGCTTGGATCCAGCAACGGCTGGTCCCAACTATAGCAGTCCATACATGGACAGAAAGGCCGTGATGCTACCGTTCAGATATGATGGCAAGGAAGATATCGACTCCTGGATCAGCTCCATGAGAGCTTACTTTGAGGTATAGGGCACTCAAAGAGTGAATCAGTCCTTGATCCTAGGGACGAACATCGAGGTTGTTGTAAGGGGTTTCCTAGAAGTCCAAGCTATGCAAGTTGGGTATCCCAAGATCGATTTAACGGAATGGGTTAAAGTCACCCCGGCTGCCGCTCTCGAAGAGATACTACTAGCACAATACAAAGACCTGCATGCTGCATCTAGAGTAAGGATCCTGCTCGATGAACTTCAGCACAACAAGTGGCAGGGCACCATGCACAAATTGCAGATGCATACTCGTCGCGACACCAGGATTGGAACTGACAGTGCAATCGCGCTTGGATGATGTTAAAGGTACGGTTCCCACCCATTTCATCAATCGCCTAGGCAAGGATTTCTATGGTTACACTGATTGGTTTTCCTTATGACTAGGCAAGGATTTCTTTGGTTACACTGATTGGTTTTCCTTGTGAAGGATGTAGTCAGTCTAGAGGCAGGAAAACTCCTTACCACAGCAAGCAACAACAAGACCTTTGTTCGCGGACAATTTTGTGGCAGCAACCGTCTTGCTGGCTTGACTTGTCGGAGGTAGAAGGGGAGGCGGAAGCAGATGACCCCACTCTTGGCGATGGCCAAGAACAAGACGCTGATACAACCTACTCTTCCACCCAAGAATCCGAGATTAATAACGAAGATGAAAAATTTGGTGCCTTTAAACCACAGGTCCCCCTCACGAAAAAAACCTCGGGGTATCGGTAGCGCCGTTTCGCGACGGCTACCGGTAGTACAGCGTGGAAAACCGGGCGGGCCTCCGTACAAAATTTTGCGACAAAAATCTGAAATAAATCAAATCGGCGCGGCAATTATTTCACCGTCAAAATGATTTTTTTTTTTCCTGATATTTTTCCCTGAAAGATCACTACCTAATCTACGAACCCTCAAATTTTCATATATTTTGGTGAAATACTCTGAGCACGAAAAATCGACAAAGTTGCCGCTTGGAAAGTGGCGGGATTTGGACCCGTCGGCCTCCGCACAACCTGGCGCCTCAGTACGGTCGCCGCCCCTCCGTACAACCCGGCCCTAACTCACCGGTACCAGGGGTTTTCGATGGCGGGGGGACCTGTGGTTTAAAAGGACTGCCCATATGAAGGGAAACCAAAACTGGAATTCACGCCCTAAGGGAGTTAAAATCCTAGCCAATCGGAACAACGCAAGTACTAAACCTTGGGTGGACCTCCGGATCAATGAGGCTGAATGAAAGGCTAGGATAAAGAAAGGAGCTTGCCTGCATTGCCAAAAAACAATTCATAAGGTCTAAGAATGCTTTAGGCTGCAGGAAAACTTAAATCGGGTATAGAGGGTTCATCAACACACTCCACAACAAGGAAGTCTGAACCAGTCAGTGATAGTTCTCCAAAGGACCATATCACTGACCAGCAGTCCGCTCTTGAAGCCCAACTTCTCCTGATTATAAGGCTAGTGAATGTCCTGTTTTGTATGTTGAGTCTTGGGAGGAGTCAAAGAAGGTTGACTTTCATTATCACCCAGAGCAATGGGCTAAGATGAAACAACAGTGTGCTCAAGGGACAGCGAGGTTAATCTCCTTCAAACTTCTCATTAACCACCGCTATCTTCGTGTCTTGATTGATTGTGGTGCCACGACTAATTTCATGTCTCCACATGGGATACGCATAGTGGGTTTGGGGATGAAGCAAGTGGCTTTGCAGAGCCCTTGCCGGACTCAAGTAGGCACAACAAAGAGGTTGCCTCATCTACGCATGCAGTCAAAGGAGTGCACACTACCTTTGACAAAGAAAAGACTATCACACACGCATTGAACTTCTATATACCTTCGACGCAATCCTCGGGTTGGGATGGTTAGAGTCCCAATGTGAATGGACCAAGTGGAAGGAACTGCTTTTCATGGTAGAAAATGTACAAGGAACGACCGCCCCGTCCTCTTGGATGAGAAACTCGACTCCCCCGTGACCTTTCTTAATGCCATGCAGTTCTACAGAAGTGATGCAGGCATAAGGAGGATGAACAGTTGTATGTTGCCTTTGTTCGTCCTACTCATGTACCTTCTACTTTTGCGGCCCGTAATAATTATACTTTGCATGACAAATCTACTTCTATCCCTACACGTACTCCTATTCCAAACGAGTCTACTTCAGATTCGGTTGCCATCACTAAGCACTTGCGACTTGATTTAAGTGATCCTTTGTGACCCCCCAACCCAACCGATCCCAACAAGCATCCAAAGCCTACTCGACCAATTTTTCGTAGTTGTGGCCGAACCCCGCGGAGTACCCACGCGATCGGTCCGACACACAATTGAGTTGGTGGACAGATTGATGAGATGATCGACAAGGGATGGATTAAGCCTAGCGAATATGAATTTGGTGCACCTGTTTTGTTTGTCCCAAGGAAAGGAGACAGACTTCATATGTGTATTGATAATCGTGGTCTAAACCGCATCACAAGGAAAAATTCATACCCATCACTACGCATAGATGATTTGCTTGATGTTGAAGGTGGGTGCAAGGTCTTCTTCAAGATCGATCTCAAGTCTGGATACCACCAGATTGAAGTCGATCCTGTGGACCAGCACAAGATTGCATTCAAGACATGCGACGGGCTTTACGAATTCACTATAATGCCCTTCGGTCTCACGAATGCACCGGCCTCCTTTCAAAGCCTTATGGACAAGGTCCTCCACGAACAGATTGGTCAGTTTGTGGTTGTGTATCTCCATTATATTCTGATTTTCAGCAAATCAATCGAGGAACATATAAAGCACCTTGAGGAAGTGTTCACCATCCTCAAGAAAACGCAACTCCATCTCAACTTAGAGAAATCTGAGTTTAGGAGGGACGACGTGATCTGCCATGGGCACTGGTTGTCTGTTGCAGGCCTTGAGCTTGAAGCGACCAAGGTTGAGGTCATACGCAAGTGGCCTCAACCCACGAACGTCCGCGAATTGCATCATACTATCGGAAGTTCGTACGCCAATTTTTTATTGTTGCTTGCCCGTTGTCCAAACTAACAAGCAAGAACGTATCTTACACGTGAGATGCAACATGTGAGACTGTTTTTCAAACCTTGAAAGAGGCCTCCGTAAGTTATCTTGTACTTCGCATTGCGGATTCCAAAGTCACATTCATAGTCACCACGGATGCAAGCCAGTATGGGATTGGCGCAGTGTTGCAACAAGATGACGGTGATGGCTTGTGGTCGCTCGAGTACTACAACAAACGCATGCCCAACAAAAAGGTAGCTACTTCCACCTACATGCGAGCTCTACTCCGCATTGCGGATTCCAAACTCACATTCGTAGTCACCACGAATGCAACCCAGTATGGGATTGACGCAATGTTGCAACAACATGACGGTGATGGCTTGTGGCCGCTCGAGTACTATAGCAAACGCATGCCCAGCGAAGAAGGTAGCCACGTCCACCTACATGCGCAAGCTCTATGCCCTGCGCGAGGTATTGTTCCCTACGTTGACTCACTGATTCCATGATATTGACATTTTCTATTTTGAACTGAACACAAAAAGGGTTGTTATAATCGAGTTGCTGATGCATTGTCTCGCCACCCTGAGTATATGACTTGCCTTGTGAACTCCTACGACCTTCGGAAGAAACTGAAGGTGGAGCTCGTGGAGCGAATTGCCAAGGACCCGAACCTCAGCCAGATCCTTGAGCAGTTGCGGGCTAACCTTCCAATCAACCTAATTCCCACGAATTTGAAGGACTGGTTTTCTGACGATATGGAAAGAATGACCGCTTGTGTGTACCCAACCATAAGCCTCTCCGCACACACTTCTTGGACTTGGCTCACAGTCGGAATTGACACTTCAGCATGGCAAAGACTTACAGAAACCTATTACAACAATTTGATTGGCCTAGTATGAAAGGATTTGTTGAAAAGTTTGTGGCCGAGTCTCAAGTGTGTCAACGAGTCAAAACATCAAGACAAATGCCGAAGGGGCTGCTAGAACCTGGAGAGTTTGTCTCTATCGACTTCACGGACATGAGAAAAGATAAGTAAGAATGATTATTCGCAAGTGATGGTGATTGTTGATCGTTTTTCCAAATTCCAAAATCTGATTTCATTGCCACATCATGCCCCAACCGAAGTTGTGATCAGTGAGTTCCACCAAAAGTACACTCTACAGTTTGAAACCTCGAAAACCCTCGGGAGTGATCGGGACCCTCGCTTCATAAGTACTGAATGGAAGGACTTCACGTCCTAACTCCCTGGCCTCAAACTGAGCATGACATTTGACCGACATCCCGAAGCCAATGGTTTGGCGGAGGAGATCAACCAGACCGTGTTCCAACTTCTCCATGCTTTAATCATTCCGAATCAGGAAACGTGGGATGAAGAGACGTATTCAATCAAGGGGTTGTACAACGACTCCATCCATTCTTCCACCTGCATAACGCCAAACAAGTTGCATTACGGTTGGCAGATTCGTAATCTGCTCTCCTACTTATTCCCAGAAACGATCGGCTGGTTTAACACCCGGGAGGCCTGGCTTCAGTGCCAAGTATGATCTCTTGCTCGAAGTTGTCATTGAAGCAATGACCAAGTGACAACATGCCATGATCCATCATGCGAACAAGAAACGCCAACCTTCGAAGATTGAAGTCGGAAGTTATGTCAAGATGTTTGAATTTTCAGAAAAAGAGAGTTGTACTCTCAGATGCACTCAAGAGATGGATACAAGTGATAGACATGTATGACTATCAACTTGATCCTATCAAAGGAGAGTAAAACAAGGTAGCGGATGCACTATCTCGACGGGCAGATTACCTGGGCGCGCTAGTGACTGAATTCGGTATATCTAATGATTTAACTCGATTGTTGGTGGAAGCCTATCAGCAAGACTCAGTTATGTCTTAGATCATCCGTAAGTTTAAAGAGAAGGCTAAAGTAACCTCTGACGAATTTGTGATGGTTAATGGCTTGCTGTTTCTTGAAAAGGCAGGGAATAAAAGACTGTGTTCCTAATAGTGAGTCTTTGCGTAGTTTATTTTTCGGGGAATGTCATGATGCAACTGGACATTTTGGCTATAGAAAGACATCAGCTAACCTAGTACAAAAGTTTTGGTGGCCTTCTATGATGGAAGATGCCAAGAAATATGTTAAGACTCAGTTGTGTCTTAGATCATCCGTAAGTTCAAAGAGAAGGCTAAGGTAACCTCTGACGAATTTGCGATGGTTAATGGCTTGCTGTTTCTTGAAAAGGCAGGCAATAAAAGATTGTGTTCCTAATAGTGAGTCTTTGCGTAGTTTATTTTTAGGGGAATGTCATGATGCAATTGGACATTTTGGCTATAGAAAGACATCAGCTAACCTAGTACAGAAGTTTTGGTGGCCTTCTACGACGGAAGATGCCAAAAAATATGTTGAAACCTGTAAGGTCTGTCAACGTGACAAACCTAGAACTCAGGCTCCACTTGGGATCATCAAGCCCTTGTCGATTCCTGAAGGTCCTGGTCAGAGTGCCTCCATGGACTTCATGGATACTCTTGTGACCAGCAGGTCTGGAAAAAGGCACATCTTCGTTATAGTAGACCGTTTTTCCAAATATGCCAGACTTCGCTATGCCGGAGACTGCTAAAACTAACTATGTGTGACCAGCAGGTCTGGCAAAAGGCACATCTTCGTTATAGCAGACCGTTTTTCCAAATATGCCAGACTAATCGCTATGCCGGAGACTGCTAAAACTGACTATGTCATCAGACTATTCATGGACAATTGTGTTCGAGACTTTGGTTTACCTAAGTCTATTGCCAGTGACCGGGATGTACGTTTCACAAGCGAACTGTGGCAAAACACAGCCCAACAGATGGGCACCAAACTGCAGATGACATCAGGGAACCACCCTGAGTCAAATGGACAGGTGGAACAAATGAATCGAGTAGTGCAGCAATTACTGAGGCACTACATTAAGCCAAGTCAGGATGACTAGGACGAGAAACTGCCTCTCGTCGCCAGCCTGTACAACAATGTTGTACACAGCACGAATGGCATTACCCCCAACCAACTGCATCTTGGTTGGAAGCCTAGAACCGCCTTAGATTTTCTGTTACCTGAGAGTCAACCATCTGCAGCACCTGGCAGCATAGAGTTTGCTGTAAAGTATGATCAGATGCTGCAAGAGGGTGTAGAGCATATTAGAAAAGCTCAAGATGCCATGGTGGCATCTGAGAATAAGCACAGTCGACCGTCTCAATTTCAGGTGGGAGAACGAGTTTGGGTTAAATCATCTGCGTTGGGACAGGAACTGGGAATTTCTAGAAAGCTAATGCCATAGTACTTTGGTCCTTGGGAGGTCTTAGACATAGTGGGAGATCAGATGGACGGACCTTCCTATGTGATTCGTATTCCCCCACATCTACGTACACACCCTGTATTTCATGCCTCAAAGCTGGCGCCTTTCGCAGAATCTGCACAATTCCCTTCCAGACGGTCAATGCTGCCCCCAACCATGGATGGCGAAGTGGACGTCGACAAGATTGTGGAGCATCGTGTGATGCCTGTTCCTCGACCACCGGGGAGAGGTCGCCCTCCTAAGCCAAAAATGCAGTATCGGGTCAGATTCAGACATCACCTGGATCCTAGCGAAGATCGGTGGTTCACCAGAGAAGAACTCATGAGAACTGCAGCTCAAGTCATTGCAGGCTTCGAAAGGGATCTCAAAGGAAAGATGCCTGCAGAATAGAAGACTTCTCAGGGGACTATCGAAGTACAGGAGGAGGGAATGCGAGGATTCGGACCCTCGGCAGGCCTAAGGGGGCCCCTGTTGCATCTGCGCCCGCCCTAAGCGAAGGCGGGCCTAACACATCAAGAGAGGCCCTCGGCTGTCAATTTCATATTTGGGTCCAGGCAGTTTCGTCGCGCCAGTTGGCTGAGAAAAACACAGGCCGAGCAGCGAGACCTTCCAGGCCTTTCCAAAATGATGCAGGCCCTGGACGAGAATCGCAGCTTCATACACAGACAGTTGGGAGGCCCAACCGAACGAGGCCCAGTACCTGCAAGAGAGGCGCAGCATCCTGGGGCCTACCGGAAGCTTCTGGGCCCAGGCCAGTCCAGCCAGGCTGCCGAATGAGGCAGGCTCTTTCCATATAGGAAAGAGATCGCTCCCTGGCCTGGCATTCAGGCACTCGCATGCTGGCGGCAGCGCTGCTGGAGCTAAAGCTCGTGGACTGCTGCTAGCGGTGAGCAGCGAGGTGCAAGCGCGTGCGGTCGTGTTGAGAGCAGGGCGCTGCTGAGGGCAGCGCCATAGCCCAGCCTCCATAGCTGGCGGGCTCGGATGTACAGTGAGGCGCAGGTGTGGTCTTCGGGTGTACAAAGGGAAGGCGTGGGAGAGAGACGAGGGAGAGAGAGAGAAGGATGATGATGATGATGATGATGATGATGATGATGATGATGATGATGTGAGGGCTCATACCTGGTATTGGCAATGGTCTGCATGGGCGACATCTTCAAGTACTTTGGAGGCTGCTGACGTCAACAGTTGCATTCAATGCATTGTCAATTAGTAGGCTAGTAGTAGCTGTGTAGGGAGTAGGCTGGGGGCC